GTTCCTGACCATTTACATCAGGGGGAGTTGGAGACAGGCAGCGCTTGCTCACACTCTACATTGCAGGCAGGTGTCCCCGCAACCCCAACCTCAGCAGAAGTTTTATATCCACAGAGTGCCCCCATTCATTGCAGGTGAGCAAGCACATGTGGCTCATTACTTGGCTGCTTCCTTAGCCCATGTCTGGTCAGACGCATGCTGGAGCCTCTGTTCCTCAGAATCAGGGACTGGAACAGAGGCATTAGCATGTCCCCAGACTATCCTTCTGCGCAGTGTGGGATGGACTGTATGGCTGTGGCCACAACTCCTCCATACATCCTGAAGCCATTCTGCATTGTGCCAGGCTGGTCACAGACATGCTGATGCCTCTGCCCCAGTCCCTGCTTCTGCAGCTGCTGATCTCCAGTGGAGAACGGACGGGACAGCTGCTGCTGTCCCTCCTCCACACATCCCCAGGCGTGGTACATTTGCAGTCTGCCAGGTCTCTGCCATAAGCAAATATTTAGTTTAATTCCTGAATACTGATGTGACAGGTGCAGCTGCTGTGATGCAGGGTGAGCAGCAATGTCAGAGTTTTGATGGCCTTTGTCGTCTTCCTGCATAATACATACATATCATTGCAGAGATTTGGTCTTTCTCTCTCTCTCTGTTTTCTCTGCCTCCCCTTCACTCCTCCCCCAATTTATTCCCCTCCTTTCTCAAGGCCTTGCATCCTGGACGAATCACTATGCAAAGTGGAATGCTGCTCCTTCACTGGCCAGAAAGGTGGCTCTAAGGTGATGTTTATACACACAACTTCTTGGTTGATGAAAAATGAAATACAACTACTCTCTCTCTATCTCCCACCAAGGTTTTAAGCAGTTGCTTGTAATTGCAGCTTTTTAGAGTTATCTGAAATAATAAAAGCCTGGTCACAAATGACTCAACTGAGTCTCTCCCCACCCAGGTAGAAGGACATGAAATGGAAGCATCTATATCCTCAGCCTAGCAAAGGCTGCTTTCCCCTCTCTCATATGTTGGTGTGGGAGCCTAGCTCTTTAGATACTTCCAGATTTTTTTCTAGAGGAAATCTCTTTTTCTCTTGAATTCTTGGATTCAGTGAGACCCCATCTTTCCCTCTGGGTTCCCAGTTTTGCACAGTAATCCCCTGGATATGATCACCTGTCCACAGCACAAGTTTTTCGGCAGCTATGGCTAAGTTGAGCCTGCCACACTGCATAAACTAATTGGTGTGGTGGGGTGGAGAGGTGCTGAGTATGGTCATTCAGTAGAAAAAATGTTTAGTTTTTGCTGAAATGCCATTTTGTGATTGATTATTAGCATGCCTTTTTTCTTGGCTAGTTCCAGTTGAGGGAAAGGATTTAGTTCATATCTGTCGCCTGTTGGGCTTGAGGCTTCAGAGGGATACTTGTATTATTTTTGGGGGCAGCGTCTTAGACTTTTGTTTCCCTGAAATTTCCCAGCCTTGCTGGCTGGGAAGAACAGGATGCTTGAGGCACTGATTTAGTACAAGTGAATTGTGAAGTGAGCAGCAAGTCATTTACCAAGATAAAGAGGTTTACTAGTGTCCCTGTTCATTAAACATTGAGTCAGTAACCCAGTCATAACGGGTGAGCTTGTTGTAGGACTAAATGATGCCCCTGCATGACCAGTGAATGGAGTACATTGAAAACATATCATTACTGCTGAAAACGATACTAATGTTTGTGCTGCATGAGGTTTTCACCCTTCCAAGCAAGGAATATGTGGACGCTTCTTTGAGAGTGCGGGTGGAGCAGTAGTTCCCTTGCTTAGAGTGGACATTTAAAGGACTCATTTTACAAATCTTGTTACTGGAAATAGGGACCTATAAAGGCATCTGTCACGAGGCTGAAGGATATGCAGTATTATAAGGCTGTTGGTTTCTCCTTCGTGTATTTTCAGATGGGCATATTTGGCCGAAGTACTAACTCTTCAGAAGATTGTTAGTGTTAGTGTCACAGTCAAGCAGAAAGAACAAGGTCTGGCCCTAATTTAGGGGAGAATTGGCATGCCTGGTGGGTTTCTGACCCTTCCTTAGCAGAGGGCACCTGCCCATGTAAAAGGGGACCAGTCTTCTCCCTGTGGAGGGGGTAGTAGGGGGTCTTGCTAATGGATGCGGCTGAAGCAGCTCATCTCTGACTGCATCAGACTGATTAGCTGGGTCCCGGATACTGCTGCGAGTCGTGATTATGCCAGCGCAGCTGCACTCTCTTTCATCTACTAATTACCACACGCATGGATGTCATCACCCCTTAACACTGTATGGCGTTGTCCCATTAGCGTGGGAGTGGGAAGTGCCGAGGGAAACAGGATCTTTGAAGCTACAGGCTCTTTAGACGTGAATAAAGAAGTGGATTGAATGAAGTGCCTGTCCTTAAGACTCAGAGATTCTGCCTTGCTTTGACAATCTGCCTTCAGGTGGCACTTTCACAGGGTGGCAGAGATGGGTAAGCTCACTTGGCTTGCCAGTGAGTGCCCCTTAATGTGAAGCAAACATTAGCAAACATGTCACAGCCTTCCACATGGCCCATCTCTGAACATGCGGGGTAGCCTGAAGAATAGGCTCCATCCCTCTGGCAACAGTTGGAGTCAGCCCAAAAACCAGTTCTACCAACTGCAGCTCTTAAGGGGGAGGTGCAGCTTTCCTTGCAGAGGAGGAACAGGGAGAAATTGCTTACCCACTTGTGACTGACTGAAAAATTGGTGTGTGCCAGACCTTGGTGACTTTTCTGTCAGACTTCAAGAGCTTATTTTTTCAAATGAATGTTCCCTGCCTCTGTAACCCCTGTCTCCTCCTCCCACCCATCAAAAACCAGACTCCCCATCTCAGTGTGCACCCTAATCTCCATAGCAACAGGTGTTACCAGCATGCATTTGATTTTTGTTAACTAGCTAAGTACCAGTAGAGAATGGGATGGATGAGCTGAGGATGGGTGAAAATTACTTAGGAAAACACCCTGCTCCCTCCACCCTGACACTGGTCATTCTGGAAAACTAATGACTGCTGAGCGTTGCTGGGAGTAGAGCAGGTGCCTGACTTGCATCATACAGAGAATTTCTAAAGGACTCTTTAGCTTTTCTGAATGTTTCACTTTCTTAAGGAGAGCCTGAAAATGTTGCCTGTAGCCAGAAATAATATGGTTGCACAGCTGTGCCAATTACAGTAGCCAAAATTGGGCCCTAGTACCAGGCATCGTAGGAACACACAGTAAGGGTATTCCTGCCTTTAAGATTTTACAATCCAAGTAAACAAAACAGACAAAGGTAGGAGCAGAATTGGGGGTACGGAGAGGTGATGTGATTTGTCTAAGGTCATGTAGTAGGTCTGTGGTGGAAATGGGGTAGGGACTTTGTCTTAATTTATTGTTTTATCCAGTGGACCACACTTCCCAATCCCAGATCGGTTCCACTCTTAAGGTTTCATGGCTCCAAACCCACAGGACTGACCTGTACCACTCCCATACTGTTGCAATGCTAGGGGTTCCATCATATGATCCTCTACCAGATACTTTCTCTGAGCAAAGATCTCTAATTTGGCCTAACTTTGCCAGGAGCCTCATGATGAGCTGCCATTTGCTAGATATTCTAATGGGGACAGATTTTTTTTGGAGGGGGGGGTAGGGTTTTTTTTGGAGGGGGTTGGTGGTTTTGTTTTGTTGGGTTTTTTTGACCTGTGACCTAGAGTAGTTCGGACCCCAGGCTTCTTGGGAGGAAAATATAGTTAATAAGTATGTCACTTGTGGTGACTCCAGAGTTTTAGCCGTCTTCTTTCATAGACCTCAATTTAGCGAATGGACTGCATTAAAATGCCCCTAACTACTCTGTCCAAAGCCTGGATGCTCAGAGCTGTCTACCACAAACTGCACTGATGGCCCAGTGTGTCAAAGCAACTGCCCTCATATACCGTCTGGCTAAACCAGACCGTTGCTCCTCTTTTCTACTGTCTGGTCCCTTGTTTTATAGCCTAAGCCTCTCTTTAGTTTATCACATTTTCTGACTACGTGGTATGGGGTGAGCTTGTAAAATCCTGTCGGTAGAAGGTGCAGAGGAGTTTGTAGACTGCAGAGCACCTGTTTCTTTTAAGAGTAGGGGGGTCCTCTGTAGGTAAAACTAGTTGCAGTTTAGGTAACAGTGGAGGGCAGAGCTGCTTGGTGCCCTCAGCCTTCATCATGCAATGTTCCTGTAGTCTAAGCTGATCAGATTTACTGGATCAGGGCTATGGTAAGTAAAGCTCCGCTGGCTTCTAGGGTCTCCTCAAGGGAACAAAGTTAATTGGGTGACATGGGCTGAGCTGGGAGTCTAACTGAATTCATAGATGCATTTTACCTCTGTGCTGGTGGCTGTTCTGGATAACATTAACATATTGGCTCAGCATTTCCTTCCCAACTCTGCGTCTTTGTGGGAGAGAATTCCAGTAGGCTCTGAAGGACACAGGAGAGATCCCCTATTGTGTTGACACTTGGAGTTCCCATTTATTTAATGGACAAACCGTGTAAGAACACATTTTGGGCTACTGCCAGTGAAAGCCCATACATTTCCTTGATTCCCCAATTTCTGCAGTTGAGTGATGGCTGCATGAAAATGAAAACTGGGGCTAATAAAGGGTGAGAGAATTCCCAGTTGTCCAGTGTTGAAGTGAATACATCACCAGGTCTCAGCACTTTTGGTTAACTGGTGTCAGTGAAGGGACCACACAGCTGTGCAGCCCACTAGCTGAGTGAAGTTTGGCCTGCTCTGATGGCAGTGTGCATTTCTTGCTCTGGAGCTATCTATGTACGATGCTGTTAAATATTTATCGGATGTGTGTGTTTCTATCAGATACTTACACTTGCTGGCAGGTTACTTATTTCTTGGAACAGTCTGTAAAGTGACTAGCCTCCCTTCTCAGCTGTTCTGCCACAGGCAATTTTAGCATTTGAGCCTCCTTGACTCCCCTGACTTTGTCCTCTTAAATAACACTTTGCTGTTGTCTTTTTCAGAGAGTCTTCAATGTCCTGTACCCAATGCCTGCTGACCAGAGAAGACATGTCAGCATAAATTCTGCTCGCTGGCTGCCTGAGCCAGGTCTTGGTTTGGCATATGGCACCAACAAGGGGGACCTGGTGATTTGCCGACCAGAGTAAGTGGCATAGCTACAGTGTGGAGGGGGGGGGGCTGGCGGGAAACCTCAGTCTTTCTGCTTGTCAGGGGAGCTGACGCAAACTGGTTTTCCACGGCTGTTGTGTGGTTGCCAGATGAGGAATCTGACTTTTCTTTTGAAGAGTTGTGGAGTTTATTTGATCTTTAATAGTGAATAACCATGTTTCTGTCTTGAAACTATGTGCAGACAGGGTTTCTTACACATAGTTTTCCTACTTCCCCTTTGCTTTACAAATTATAGATTATTTTATTTCCATATATGCCTAGACATGGACTAATCCAATATAAGGTTATATTAACCAGAATGTTTTTGGTATGACTGTCAAAGTAGTCTGGTAAATGGTTTTGGTTCTAGCAGGACAGACCACTGGTAGTTCTATTTATTGTTTATAGTACCATAATATGCACGATACTTTACAGATTAACAAGTAGACAATCTAATTTTTAGATCTATTTTTTACATGGCACAGGAAAAAGTGATGACAGAAGATGAGAATCCTGGCCACGTGATGTTTTATAGTATGAGCAATTCTTCAAGGGACTTTTGGCATGATACTTCAGGTGGAGAGGTCCCCCTTTCCAGTATCTAATCTGTGTTTCTTCTGGAGTATTGTAGTTTCTCTTGAACTTCAGGAATACTTGATATCAATGCTTTACTGATTTCCTGTTACTGATCCACCACCAATCCCTGCTCGTGGTAATGTTTTGCAAGTTGAGATCCCAAATTGCTACTGAATATGCAGCTGGAATCCTGTAGTCCACACACCTGCTTGGAGATCCTACGGCATGAAAATAGATTTCCATGTCTTCTGCACAAGACTGAGCATGTTATGCTTGTGAAATGCCAAACTTATTGAATTAGGGCAAATCTGCACTATGGTGATGGTCCCTATTTTAGTAGATCCAGGGGGTAAAACTGCAATCAGAGTTAGACTTGGACTAAAATGGTGGTACAGCTTATCAAGCACCTCTTTCAAACTGCTGTCTTTTTCTCCAGAATCTCATCTTCTGTAAGGCCTTGTTTATTCAGGGAAACTGACTGAAACAGCTATAGTAGAATACATATTAATTACTGTACAATGTGAGCAGAATCCGTTTTAATCTGAAATAGTATCTACACTAGCGAGTTATTCTGAAGTAGTTTAAATTGTATTTCTGTAATGTAGACCATATCTAAGAGTCTGTAAGTTTTAAGCTTGCAGAGAGAACTTTGCACGTAAAACCAGTGTATTGCGGAGATCTGTCTGAGTTTGCAAACATCTTAGGTATGTCTTTGCTACTAGGCTTGTCAAACTTCTAGAAGCATTCCCTAGTAGTGGGGGGCTAGTTGTTGCATTTCTGGGTGCTGCATGTATGTCTCAGGGTTCTGAGTACCTCACTAACTGGAGCCCCCTTAGGAGTTGTTGCATGGTGTGTTGCAAGATAATTGATCCTTCCCCAGTGCCAGTGTGGAAGTGTTCTTAGTTCGCCAGCACATTTAACTCTAGAATTTCAGCTCTGCATGGCGCTGCAGCTCAGTTTCAGTGAATTCCAAAATACAGATTCAACACAGTGAATGAGCCATTCCTTTTTTGTGGGCACACTGTCATTGCAGCAAGGTGCAGATAAAGGGTGTGGAAGATGCTGTGGCATTTTGGTAGTGATTTTTTCTTTTTGGCCCACAGAAGATATCAGGGGTGTTAGCAGAGATTTTTGCAGGCTAAATAATAACATGCGAGTGGAGACAGCTGATGCTTCCTGCAGTTGCTGAAGAGTCTTTGTAGATGGATGGATATTTCTGATACTGAATACGTTGCATACAGTGGAGGTGTCAAATTATTTAGACCAGGATGGGGAGCAGTGGCCTCAGAACTTCTACATGATGAATCAGACTTTTAATGGAGCTGTTTGAGGAACTTGCTTTGACTTTTCAGCCCCAGGACATGCAAATGAGCAGTGCTGTATCGGAACAGAAGTGAGCTACTGTTGCTCTGTAGAAGTTGGCTATCCCAAACTGCTACCATGTGATTTCATCTTATCACAAGAACTTGAATACCTGAGGTGCTGTTTGCTTTAAACTGATTGGCATAACTGATTAGGAGACTTTTAAACTAAGAAATGGTGGGAGAAGTTTGGAATGGACTCTTGAATTTATAATCTCCACACTTTGTTTTAAAATACACAAAAAGGAAAACGTGATAAAGAGATGGCAAAGGGTAAAGGACTGCCAGAGGGTAGAATAATTCACAGTAAAGAGAAGAACTAATACGATTAGAAAATGGTTAGTGGCAGGACAACTCTTAATCCACCTAGGAAATTGGATGTGGTCGGTGGGGTTTGCTTACAAATGCAAAAAATCTGGGCAACAAAGAGGAGCTGGAACTACTAGGGTAGGATGCTACGTCACATGTTTATAGAGGTAAAATCATGATATAATCACAGTCTTGACCAGAGCCACAGGTACTGGAGGAAAAATGAATAAACTAAAGGTGGCAAGGCAGCATTGTATGTTGTTAATGTAATGGACTGAAAGGAAATAGAGAAAGAGTAGCATAGATAAAGCAGAATCACTTTTGGGAAGGATATTAAAAGAGTCTCCACTGTGCAGTACTTGGAGTCGGCTCTTGACCCTCAGGGTTGGATGGGAAGAGATCTGTATAATGTTAAATAAATATGACTGGAAATTGTATTATTGTGGGCGACTTATTAACGCTCCAGATATATATTGAAGAGCAAATGCAAGAACAAATAATGATGGGGCCCAGATGATCTTGGTGTGATTGCCAACAGGTTCTTCACCAAATAGTCCCTGAGTCAACAAGAGGTGATGCTATTTTAGACTTGGATTTGGTAAGTAATAAAGACATTGTAATAGAGGCAGTTGTAGAAAGTAACCTTTGCTCAAGTGATTACAAGTTGATTCAGTTGAAATTAAGAGGGAGGATAAATAGAAGTAGATTTGTAACAGTTTTTATATCAAGAGTGGAAATTAAGATGGCTAGTTAAGGGCTGACTTCAAGGACTTGGATGTGGAGGAGGTGTGGGATTGCTTGGGATATAAGAGAAAAATACGCAAACCTAAGTGGATATTAAGAGTAAGCACAGAGCTTCCAAGGAATGGGGAAAAGGATTGATCCACAGAGAAAGCTAACTCTTAGAAATGAAGTGATAAAGTAAAAATCAACCAAAAAACTCAATCTGAGTTGGACCTTGCAAAGGAAAGAGCAAAAGGACTTTCAGCCCTACAAAAAAAAAACCCAGAATGAGGGAAGAAAAGTTGGGGCACTATGCAGTTAAGATGGGGTAGAGATTAAAGATAATCCAATACATGACCCATAACTAAATGAATAGTTTTTAGTAAGAATGCTGATGTTGAACATGGGCACAAAGGCAGGACGGCTAAAGGAAATAAGTGTATGGAAATGAAAATTACCATATGCAGTTTGGAGACAAAGCTCAAAGCTGAGCGTGTTCATGTTAGGGGAAGGGACTGGATGACGTGCACTCCAGAATTCTGAAAGTCCTGGCCTATGAATAATGGGTTCATAGGGAAGTAGACCTGAAAAGGACCTCATGACATCGTCTAGTCCAACCCCCTGTACAAGTTAGGATCATTTTTGACTAAACCATTCCAGCCAAGTGCCGGTCCAAAAAAATCTTGAAAATTTCCGAGGGTGGAGATTCCACAATTTCTTTTAAGTAGCCTGTTCTGATGCTTAACTACCCTTAGTCAAAAGATTCCTCCTAATCTCCAACATAAATTTCTTCTGTTACAGCTTGAGGCCAGTGCTCCTAGGCCAGTTTCCTATAGCCACAGAGAAAAGATCATTTCCATCCTTCCTCTTTGTAATCACCCTTCAAGTGTTTGAAATTCCCCCTGTCTTCTCTTCCTCAGACTGAATAACCCTAGTTCTTTCAGCCTTTCTTCATAAGTCTTGCTTCTCAGGCCAATCACTTTTGTCACACTGCACTGGATTCTTTTCAATCTGTTCGCATCCTTCTTGAAGTGTGGGGCCCAAAACTAGACACATTACTCCAGGTGAGGTCTCACCAGGGCTGAACAGAGTGGAGGATATGCTTCCCTTGACTTGCAAGTGACAATCCTGTTAATATAACCCAGTATGCTGTTGGCCTTTTTACAACAAGAGCACACTGCTGAGTTATATTCCTCTTATGGTCTACTGTAACCCCCAGTTCCTTTTCTGCAGTATTACAGCCCAGCCAGTCATTCCTGATTCTGCATTTGTTCATGCAGTTATTCTGTCCAAGTGCATGACTTCACACTTATCCTTGCTGAATCTCACCTGATAGATTGCAGACCATTTTTCCAGGCTGTCCAGGTAATTATGGATCCTAGTCCTGCCTTCCAGAGTGTCTAAACTCCACCCAACTTAGTGTCATCTCCACCCAATCCCATCATCCAAAGAATTAATGAAGATATTAAAAAATACCAGACCCCTGGGCAGCTCCACTTGATACTTCCTCCCAATTAGACTTTGAACCATTGATGACTGATTGTTGAGTGCAGTGATCTAACTGGTTATATATCTACCTTACAGCATTTTCATTTAGTCTGCATGCCCTTTGCTTGTCAATGAGAACATTGTGGGAGGCAGGAATGAAGATTTGATAACAAGACATCTTAATGAATCTATCAAGTGCCATATAATTGGAGAATAACAAATGTAAGATCTATATTTAAAGAGGTGGGAGGGTGATATGAGCAACTATTGGCTTTTGTTAGTCTGACCCCAATAGCATACAAGATGTTAGAACAAAGTTTGAGGGAATGAATAATTAAAAATGTGGAGGTAAGTGGAAAATAGGGCCAAATGCAATATGCATTTACCAAAGATGTATTGTGCCAGGCTAAGCCAAAAGTTCTCTTTGATAACAAACCTGATTTTCTAGACAAGGAAAATTCAGTAGATCTCGCCTATCTGGATTTCAGTAAAAAAGTTACCACCACAAAAATGACTTAAAGTGGAAAAGAGTAGGGAT